TTCTCAGATTTCAATCATGAGTCACCTAGGTAATTTTTTCTCTGCTATTTAGTTCCAATGTTTATTCCTTTTATTATTTTCCAGCAGTACAATAAAATACTGTGCAAAAAGCGAAGGGTGTGTTTTGAGAAAGAAGGTAATGAAGTAATTCTGGTCTTTACTTTGTTGTATAACATGTCATTTTTAATCTAATGCTGTAGGATTTTTTTCACTCCCTTCTAGGAATTATTTAAAATATTTAACAAATTGTTATCTCCTTTCTTAGTGAATGATCAGTTATCTTCTGTAAAGTTTTTAATAATGTATAGTAACTGCAAATTGAATAGCACAATCAAATCAGGCATTCAAAAATAGGAATGCAGGCCCTGTGCGGTGGCCTAGCGGGTAAAGTCCTCACCTTGAGCACTCTGGGATCCCATATGGGCACCAGTTTTAATTCCAGCAACTCCACTCCCCATCCAGCTCCCTGCTTGTGGCCTGGGAAAGCAGTCAAGGACGACCCAAAGCCTTTGAACCCTGTACCTGTGTGGGAGACTTGGGGGAGGTTCCTGGCATCAGATTGGCAAAGCACTGGCCGTTGCGGTCACTTGGGGAGTGAATCATCAGATGGAAGATCTTTTTTTCTGTCTCCCCTCTTCTCTGTATATCTGACTTTGCAATAAAAAAATAAATCTTTAAAACAAAATAGGGGTGCAAGCAGTTCATGAGAGTAGGAAGGCTAGCATTGGAGCATGATAATGTACGTCAAACAGATAAGGGGAGAATGATGTTGCTTGCTGGCTGATGGGGTACCTGGCGTCAGAATCAAAGGGGCTTTCTAGTCCCAGCCTTGTGTCTGTCTGCCAGGGGAAGAGCCTTTGTTCCTGACTCTCAGCTTCCAACCCAGTGAGTACAAAGGTACTTCAAAAAGTATGCAAATCAGAAGATAAGTTTATTTGGGTACCCCCCCCAAATTATGAAATCTGTTTGTACAAAGCATCTTCAGAAAGTTCACAGGAATTGTCTATCATGGAAAACTGTATATGGATTTTAATTTTTTTGTTTTTGGTGCTGAACCGATCTTGTGGGGGGAGTGTTTGGCATAGTCTCTGGGATTGCCCTATTGGAGTGGCTGGATTCACACCCCAGCTCTGCTTCCCATCCAGCTTCCTGTGAACACACGCCATGGGAGGCAGCAGGTGATGGCCACCACCCCTGTCAGAGACCAGGGTTGAACCCAGGCGCCTGGCCTTGGCATGGCCCAGCCCCGGCTGGACTGGGCATTTGAAGAGTGTAAGCCAGCAAATAGAAAATCTTCCTTGCCTCTGCCTCTCTATCTCATTCTTTGTTTCTCCATCTTTCTTTCAAGAAATAGTGAAAATAAAAACAACCCTTTATTTTTAAAATGTAGATTTATCTTTAAAAGCCCCCCTTTTGTGGACTTTTTGAAGCTCCCTGTGTTTGAGGACCCAACCGGCTTCTATGCAGTGGACTTGCTTTCGGCAGGCACCACTCCCCAGGGGGCATCCATTTGCAGGCACTCGGTGTGGTCCAGCAGCAGGTTCATGTGTGTGTATGTGTGTGTTTGCTTTGCTTTGCTATTGCTTTTTAAATCATATCCTTACAGGCTGTACATCAACATGCTCTTTTTCCCTATCATAAAAACCAGCAGGAGGTATGCGAGGCAGGAGAGGAAGTCAAGAGACTGTTCGATGTTGACAGGCGGGATCTATCTCCGTGGCTCTGGGAGAATGCGCATGTGCTGGCAGAGCCTTCAGGACTGCACTTGGAGTCTCATCCCCGGGTGATTGCCGTCATGCCATGAGGAGCTGGGCACCTGTGGGCCCCTCTGCTGGCTTGATCTGAAGAGCTTCTTCTCATAATACATTCTGCCTTTGCTCTTGAGGAGTTCAAAGTCCTTCATGTGGAGTCAGCACCCACAGAGTCGGGAGGAGAGAGTGGAGTCCATGTTCCTGTGTAGCTGCCAGGAGGGAGCCCTGCCTTGCTGGGTTAGAGAAACAGCCTGGCGGAGACAGCTCCGAGAATGGGGTGGCCGTCTGGCAGCTGCTGGGCGCCCCTGCCAATGTGCAACCTGCGTGGATTTTCAAATCCAGGCTCAGTGTTTCCATGCCACAGCTGCTTCCCTGCCCTAGCATGCCCATCAGTTTCAAAATGCTGCAAGAAATGCTCCTTATAATCCCATTGGTGACAGATGATTTGGGAGCACCTGGGGGATTGCTCTTTCCCTTTCTTGAAGTAGTTTTGTGACTCCAGAATGCCAGGACAGTGGTACTGGGGCAGATTGCAGCAAACAGAAAGCAGTACCGTGGGCTTGGTGGATCTTCCAGCATCCCATCAGAGAGGGAAAGGGCAGTGTAGAAATGGGGATGTTTGTCGAGGGTCACACTCAGGGACCCAAACACATGGATGGTGAGATCTGTCCCAGCATGTCGGTCTCTCAGTTCCCACTTCATCAGATCCAGTGGGATTTTTTTGTTGTTATTTTGTTTTTTCAGACCAAAGTTGCTGTTGTGTCCACGGAAATTGATCTAAGTCCCTCTTTTTAGTTTGTCCTCCTTGTCTTTGCCAGACCCCCAAGCACGTGTTTTCTTCCTACACCCATCTTTCACGTCTGCTTTTCATTGCCCAGTGGTGTGTCTCTGGCAGCATTTTGTCATTTTAAGGAGGGACAGTTCCTCATTGTGCAAGGAACCCGCTTGCTCTTTGAAAGGCTTTGGTATCCCTGGGCACTAAAAACAAAGAGCCATCCTCCTCACGCGAGGAGCTTGTCTGAACACCATCAGTCAACCTCAGTCACTCTCCAGTTAGAAAGAAGGGATGCCCCAGGTGAGAACTACTGGAAGCCAGAACAAGACCAGTGTTGTGGCACAGTGGATTAGCCACAGTCTGCAACATGAGCATACCATACGGCCACTGAGTTAGGTCCCAGCTGCTCCACTTCCAGTCCTGCTCCCTGCTAACATACCTGGAGAAGTGGTGGAAGATGGCCCAAGTGCTTGAGCCCCGCCACTCATGTGGGAAGCTTTCACCTGGCCAGGCCAAACCTTCCTGACCAACCAGGGAGTGAACCAGCCAGGAAAAGCTCGCTCTCCTCTTTCTCTCTCTCTCCCCCTCTCTGTAACTCTTTCAGATAAGTACTCTGTTTATTTTAAATAAGCTGGGACACAGGCCCGTTCTCTGACCTTCTAGCACAGTACTCCATTCCTTTTCTTTCCTGGCCACATCTCTCCTTGCTTTTAGAATTCACTGGGAAGGATTACCTGATTGACTGGTTGCTTTGCCCTTTGGTTCAGCACCCCTGACAGTTCCAGGCACCCAGGAAGGAACTGGTAGTCTCTCCCAGCCTCTTGGTCACACTTGCACCTGTTCCATGCTGGCCCTGTCCTCCCGCTTGTCTTTCGTGTGGTACCTGCGGTGTGACTGCTCACCCAGGGACTGCAGTTCTTCAGGACACTGATCCTCTGCTTTTGTTCTTGTCTTTCTTGGAGCCCAGCACACTCATCTCCGCACGGCAGGAAGTTGGTCCCTGTGGCAGTAACCAGTTCAAGCACATGGGACTGTTAGCTATTGGGTGTTTTGTTTCTGTAACAGGAATGATGGTTCTGAGGTGTCCCTTTTTTCTCATCTGAAGAGTCTGTTGCGCCTGTTATCTCAGTGTGAGGAGGCAGCAGCATGGCAAGTGTATCAGTGTCTGTGGGGAGCAGCAAATGGAAGGGCAGTTCATGCACGGGGCACGTGGGTCACATGCATCCATGGGACATCCCAAGGAAGCCATGGTCCTCAGCGTGCCCTTCACTTTCCTTAGCCACATAGGGCACTGGGATGAAGGCAAATGATGCCGACAGAACATGAAAGAATGAAACAGGGAATCTTCATTGCTCATCATGGAAAATTTCAATGAATGTACAAAAGAGGTCTTCATTAAGCTCAAGGAAAATTTGGATTATTTTAAAAAAACAGACCTGGCGCCATAGCCTAGTGGCTAAGTTCCTTGTCTTGTACAAGCCAGATTCCCATATGGGCACTGGTTCATGTCCCAGCAGCCCTTCTTCCCATCCAGGTCCATGCTTGTGGCCTGGGAAAGCAGTCGAGGACGGCCCAAAGCCTTGGGACTCTGCACCTGTGTGGAAAACCCAGAAGAGGCTCCAGGCTCCTGGCTTCGGACTAGCACAGCACTGACCGTTGCAGTCACTTGGGGAGTGAGCCGTCATATAGAAGATCTTCCTGTTTCTCCTCCTCTCATTATATTTAACTTTGCAATTAAAAAAAAATGAAACATCCAAAAGCCAAAACCAACGCAAAATGAAAGTGTTACCCACTTCGTATGCAGAAATGGCTGGAAGGATACAGACTCCGCCAGTACTAGCCAAGGAACAGCCAAAGTCACCAGCCCAGGGCGTTGCCTTCCCCCTCTCCCCTCCCCACCACTGCTTTGTTTTGAAGCAGATCCATAAATATTTTCATGTGGATCTCTAGATTTTTTTTAATAGCCACAGGTCATTACTAACCTCCCCATCCCCACCCGTACCCCCTTACCCCACCAGTTCTTCATCCCCTGGTACGAGATTTCGGGTCAACATTCCGGTCTCCAGCCTTGGAGACTTTTTCCATGAAGCTGAAAACTTGGTCAAAAGAGACAGCTTCAATGGAAAAGAAGCATCTTTCTTTCTTACAAGAAAGATAAGAATGGGAAAACGATTCAGGAAATTCAAATAACTTCTCTGGTCCTTGGGGCGTTTCTTGAGCCCATCCAACCTCACCTTGGTGGTCTTGGCGCCACCCCAAGCTCGCCCCCTTGTGGAAGGTGCACGTTGGTTCCCTGATGAAGGCTTCAGGAATGTTCATCTCGCCATGAACAGGACTCTCCACTGTGGCCAGTCACTTAAAATTTGGCCACATGACAAAAATGTGTGTAATACAGATTTTTTTTTCAAAGTGTTGATTGAGCACATAATTTAAAAGTCAGAATATTAAGTAAACATCTCTGCCCTTTCTTCCAGCAGGCAGCCCAGAGAACAGCTCTCCGCGCTCTGTCTGACAGGTACATTTTGTCATTTTTATGAACTATAAATTGCTTTATGAAACATTGAGCCCTATTTATTGTGGCATATAATTCATAATCGGATTTTGTCCCTAAAGTGTCTGTGAACTGGGATGTTAAACATTTTGCATGCTTGGATTTGTCATGCATGTGTGGAGTTTATTGCTGCAAAAATCGCCTTGTTGTATTTCATATAAAGTATGAAGAATCCCTTGTTGTACAATGAAACAAGAGACAAGAAACTTCGGGGGAAGACTTGAAAGGTGTAGTAAATTGTGAACTTGGGAACTCGTAGTAGAGTTCAGCTTGTGTTTTCAGATGTAAGTGCTTCATTTATTTTGAGGTGTTTCCTGCAGACTGCTTCCCTGTCCCGTCACCAGGTGCCATCGAGTCTTTGATGAGATTCTCTGTGCTTGCATTGTCCCTGCTTGCTCGAGCTGGTGCTGTGGCGTTGCATGTAGGTTACTGCCTGAGGTGTACGCTTTCTCTAGGAAGACACCCACACTATGACACGCATCCTACTCGGCCTTGAAAGATTGCTGAAAGATTGCAGAAAGGTTGCCGAGCTGAGGCGCATGCGTGAAGTGACTTTCTAGAACAGACCTGACCCAGTGGTTTGGTTGAGTGGGTGGTTTGGCTCTCCCGCCCTTTCGTGTGTGTGTGTGTGTGTGTGTGTGTGTGTGTGTGTGTGTGTGTGTACATGCACACACCCCATCAGGAGCTAGATGTTTGTCTCAGTAAGTTGCCATGGAAAAGCAGCAGCACTGGCAGGTGCTCCCCTTGCTGACTGTGCATGGGCTCCCTAGCTGCAGCCCGTGTTCCTTGCCTCACTCCTTTCTGTAAGAATTGACTGTGTAAACCAGCTCAGTTTACTGCTCCTTCAAGGTACATCCTGTCACTTGGGTGTGTTACTTGGTGCACATGGCAGGAGGCTGAGCCTGAGTGGTTTTATTTCAGTTGAAAACCCTTCCCCATGACAAGCCTACGTGTTCAAAGATGAGTTAGCACATGACTGTCTGGAACTGCTACTGGGGTTTCATAAGAGCTGATGACTTACCACTTCTAAGTCTGTTGGTAGAAAGAGGAGAGACTTTGGATCCAAAGTCCTTGAAAACCCGACACATTAATTTCCTTCGCAGGCACATTTCTCTTTCTCCCTTTGATTTTTCTTGAGCAGGCGGCTCCTTCAACAACATGCATGGAGATGCAAGGGAAAGCCTCAGTGTACAACAGTTTGGTACTGCTAACAGGTCCAACAGTTCTTTTCAGGGATAATGAAAATGTGGTCCAATGAGATGGTGGTAGAGGTTGCACAGCCCTTTTAATATGCTAAGAAGCATTGAATGACACCTTTTAAATGAGTGAACTTTATAGTATATAAATCACATTTCAATAAAGCTACATAGATGTACATGAAATGTCACAGTGACCTTTGGGGAAGTGAACCACAACCTATTTAAGGAAAGGGGGACTCCCTTGGAAGACACGGTTGCAAATGCAGAGACATCTCCTCAGAGACAGGACCCGTCCATTCAAAGGCTTTTTTCCTGAAGACACAGGGCTTGAAGATGTATGTGGGTGTTACTGATGGCTGTGCCCCTGGCCTGGCATCCTTTTGCTATTCTCACCCAAACCACTTATCAGCCTTACTCTGTACCCAGAAGCAGAGGTGCCCACTGTCTCTGCCCTTCCTGTGAAGTTCCCTCTCCTTGGAAATAATTGCCCATCTCTGCCATTCCAACCACCTGTGTAATGTTGGGTGAACTATCATTTTGAAGTGATCAGTTAGTTGACTTTTACTACTGTCCTAGTGGTACCTTTTTGTAGGGCTAGCTTCTCAGTACTTTTCTGTCCAATTTTCTCCCTGTTCCGGGGCATGGAAGTTATTTCCATAAATGACAATATTGTAATAAATTGGCGCTGTAATTTGTAAAAATATTTTTTAATTTCTTTTTACTGGAAAGACAAATTTTACGGAGAGAAAAGAGATCTGGAGAAGATCTTGCATCCCCCTTTCCCCTCAACTAATGTCTGCAATGGCTGGAGCTGAGCCAATCCAAAGCTTGGAACCAGGAGCTTCTTCCAGGTCTCCCACATGGATTGCAGGGACCTTGCTGCAACTTGAGCCATCCTCCACTGCCTTCGCAGGCCGTAAGCTGGATGGAGAGTAAAGCAGCTGGGACCTGAACCAGCATCTGTGTGGAATGCTAGCATCACCGAGAAGATTAGCTTACTATACCTCCATTGCTGGCCCTGGGCACTGCAATTTTAAGACTAACTTTAAAATAACAACTAAAAACATCTACTGAATTGATTTTCATGTGTATATGCCAGAATCCAATATCGGCGCTGGTTCATGTCCCAGCTGCTCCATTTCCCATCCACCTCCCTGCTTGTGGCCTGTGAAAGCAATCGAGGATGGCCCAAAGCCCAAAGCCTTGGGATCCTGTACCCATGTGGGAAACCTGGAGAAAGCTCCTGGCTCCTGGCTTTGGAGTGACTCAGCTCCAGCCATCGTGGCTGCTTGGGGAGTGAATCAGTGGATGGAAGATCTTTCTTTCTGTCTTCTAAATCTGCATTTCCAATAAAAAAAAAAGAAATAAATCTTTTGTAAAAATTAAGGGATGTACCATGACTTATATATTTATTTATTTGAAAGGCAGAGAGAGAAACAGATTATTTCCCGTCCACCAAGTTACTACCCGAAAGCGTACGGTAGCTGGGGCCAGGCCAAGCTGGAGGGCAAGGGCCTGGAATTCATTCCATGTTTCATGAGTGAGCACTTGGTGCCGCCCAAAGTGTGCCGTAGTGGGAGGCTGGACCAGGGGGCACTGAACCATCAGCCTGGGCCTGTGATTCAGGATGCAGGCATCTCAAGAGGCAAATTCATCACCGCACCGAACACCTGCACCAGTAGGTTTTTGTCTGTTTACAAAGTACTCACTTATCAAGTGACCGATGTCATTTTCTGCTGAGTTCTCATTGCCCACATACCAGCTCTTTCCAGAAAGGGGAGCACGATGACTCAGGGTCACCCCACTGCGTGGCTCTCATGGTATACTCTGCTTCTCAGAGAAACCTCAGTGGAACAGAATTGAGTGAGGATCTCCCACAGGCCGTGGCCTTCCCAGGCTGCTCAGAGCTTGGTATTCTACAAAAGAATTCTGTTTCCTGAACTGTCTTTGTTTCCAGTCTATTGACATCTCATTATGTGAAGTCCCACAGTGATTAGGCAGCACTTTGGTTTATGTCCTAGGGCAAAAGGCACCTTTCAGGTCTCAGAACGGACATCCTGAATTCTGGAATCGACCAGAAAAGCCCGCTTTGGGTCTGGCCCCTGCCGCTGCGGGCCCCCATCCTCTCCTCCTGCACCTCTGTGTCTGACATGTTTGCTCAGGCATGGACTGTTTCTCCTTTCGTCTGTGGCCTCAGCTTTAACATCCCAGCAACGCAGGGATATTCATACGAGGACAGAGCCGTTTCGTTTCAAGGCCGGAGTTGGTGAGAAGATATGGATTGGATGGTAGGCAGCCAGTGCTTGCGTTCTGTCTTCCTAGAAGAAATGGGAAAAGGATGTGACCAGAGAATGCAGGAAGAGGTGACAGAATCCCCAGGCAGGAGAACGAGCAGTTACCAGAAGACCTCAGTCCGCAGAGGGCACTGTACTCCTGAGTTACCCACCCCTGAGTCCCGTGGACCACTTGGCGTTGTTTCCTCTTAGGGGTCATTGTATGCCCGACCAGGAGGGGGAGGAGGGACCCACGAGCTCGAGGCTCGTTTCTAGAAATGTGTCTTTGGTGTGAACCCTGTGTGGCACAGCAGAAGCGACCGCGTAGCTGGTAATATGGAAAATATGCAAAGTGCCACAAGGGAGAGGGTGGGCTCTGTGTGCAGCATACCAAGTGCTCGGATACGATGAACTTCCCCTCCTCGGTAGTAAATAGCAGATAACGATGATCAGAACAGGGATGCGAGCGATTTATCAAGCTGAGCGACTGTGCATTTGCAGAGAAACTGGAGGTCAATCTTGAAATCTAGGGCCAGAGGAGCACTCGGAAATTGCCGAGACTAAGAAGTTAATCACACCCTTAGACTGCTCTCATCTGTCTCCAAGACAGAGCCGCTGCACCGTGAGCAGGCATGCTTTATAGCAGCAGATCAGGAATTAATATTTTCTGTGAAGCCGTGAGCATCATTTGTAGGAACTTGGATTATATAAAAATGGTGCATAATTTCGTATGAATAAATCACATGTGACTGGAGAAAATGGTTCTTGATAAAAAAAAAAAAAAAAGACCGGAGTAAACAGGACGTCGTCGGGTGAAGGGAGAGCAGGACATCGGGTGGGTGGCACAGCGGGGGAAGAGCGAGAAAGCCAGTGTGAACAGACTTGTTGAAGCGATGACACTTGGAGGGCATGAATGGCCATGTGGTTAAATCACGCATGTAATCACCCTCTGAGATGTCACCCTGCAGCTCCAGCCATGGCCACATTTTTACAGTCTCAGAGATGTCTTGCCAGACTGTAACCTGTCGGCCCATCTGGCGATAGCATGGGCCTAAGATGCGTTGCTGTTGAGATCCAGACAACTGCCAATTGATGTGTTCATCGATTCTCAGATACTGACTGACAGCAGCCCGCAGGCTCCAGTGGGGTCCTTGCTGGAAGCAGGGGTGCAGCCTGAGAGGCACCCCTGTGCCTGCACTCATGGCTTCACCTGCCTGATGGAGTGTCACCTTGGCATGGCAAAGAGCCTTCTCTGGCCTAAACATTTGCTTTTTCTCAAATCTCATGCATCGAGTACCCTGTTTCCATGTTTGGAGAGTATTATTAGACAAACACATGGGGAGGAGCCTAAAATTAAGGGAGATGTATCTCCGTGGAGATAGAGAACTGTGTCCCGAGGCAGGGCTGCATGTGGCTGCACAGCAAGGTGACAAACACAGGGGACACTTGCCTGACCAAGCAGGGACTGCATGTAGCTTTGTCTTCCTGACCT